TAATCATACCAATCTTCTTCTGATGGCTCAGTCCATCCATTGCCATACCCAGATCTTATGAAGGATCTTTCGGGTTGTCTGATTCGTCCATTTTTCGGGTTTCCTTGATCAGGATTCTCTCGTGTTGTTTTAGGACGATATTGCCTCTGGTCAACATTCGGCCTTTTCCTTGATTGAATATTCTTAGCAGGCTGACCTTTCTTATGGTGTAGATTCTGTCTATTTCCATTTGGTCCATTCCTTTTGACATATTTTTGTCTAGGATTGCCTTTGTAAGATTTTTCATTTCGAGGATCCACAATTCGTTGTACAGCCTTTCCTTTCGGTAAGCTTGTTGATTGTGGTATGGCATCGTTGTTAACTTTCGTCATTGGCTCAGACACCTGGGTTGGTCCTTGAACAAATGCAGCTTGAAAGCCTTCGTGTGAATATGCATTCGTGGATTTGTTCAAGCAGGTTTGTGAGGAGGAGCTAGGGTCAAAACCAATTCCCGTTCTTTCCCCGGGCAGTCTGGAGTCATTCATCATTTGATCCATTAGATTGGATGAATTATTGAATTTGTCCAAGACTTCAAGCAATTCTTGCTCTCTCCTTTCTCTTGTTGTGCACTGCTCCTTCAGAGCGAGAACATTTTTCTCAAGTTGCTCCTTAGCAATGGCTAGCATAATGTTCTCAATTCGAACTTGCCTTAGCGCATTTTTGCTAATCATGAGCTGAGAGTTCTCCTCCTTAAGTTTGGAGTATGTGTTATTTATCACTTTGAACCTCCTCATCATTTCGGTAACTGATTCATTGGAGGTTTGACTCCCTACAGAACTTGACTCAGCTGAATAACAAGAAGATGAATGAGAGTTTACCTCATCTTCGTCAGCCATAAGACATAGATCTTCTGATTCCTGACAGAAAAGGCATAAGAGTCCTTTTTCTTCTTCAGAACTTTCGTCATCTGAACTCGAGCTTGAGGAGTTACTTTCGTTCACAACTGTGTCAGAGGTTTCGTTCACTACCATTGCCTTCCTTCTTCTCTCGTTTCTGGAGCCTGATGATTCTGGCTTGTCATTTATTTTGTATCTTTCTCCAGTCTCCTTGGATGGGCTTTTGGTAGTGTTGCTATCTTGATGCTTGCTCACTATTGGATGAGGACAATTGGCCTTAAAATGTCCTTGTTTTCGACAATTGTAGCACAACAGTTGCGAGTCTGTGGTTTCTGCCTTTGAGGTTTGAAGAGAACTTTCGTGTTGCTTTCGGTGACCCGAATGGTGAGAGTCTTGAAAGTTGTTCTTCCTCGTGAACCTTTTCATTTTCCTGACAAATAGTGCATATTGTTCATCAGATAAAAAATCACAAGAGTTAGATTTCGACCTGTTGGATGTTGATGCTGATTGGTTGGCCATTAGAGCAATATTTCTCGTTTCTGATTCCTCGGCATCTTTCGGTTCATGTTCGAACTCATATGCTTTGAGATCACTAAAGATCTTTGTCGTGCTCGTTGTTTTCATGTCTCGATTGTCCCTCATTGCAATGACCTTCATTTCCCAAGATTTTGGCAGGCCACGAAGAATCTTCAGATTCCTTTCTTTCTCGGTCAGTTCCTTCCCAAAATCTGTCAAATCTCCCATGAGTCTGGTGAATCTCAGCTCCGTGTCCATGATTGTCTCATTTGGAAGCATTTTGAAATCTTCAAACTTCTTCATAGCTACAGTCAGTTTGTTGTCTTTCTCCTGCTCATCCCCTTCTCCTAGTTCCATTAGAACATTCCATATTTCCATGGCATTCTTGCACTTTCGGACTCTTGGGAACAAGGAGTCATCAAGGGAGTTGTAGAGGATATTCCGTGCTACATTATCCAGGTTTGCTCTTGTCCTTTCTTCCGAGGTGTATGAATCTTTTGGCTTTGGTATCATTTGCTCAGCACCGGCTCCTTGAGCTGCTGCTTGTGTATTCGCCGTCATAACCGTAATTGGTCCAGTTGTTATGACGTCCCACATTTCGTCATGTATGGAGCAGAGGAGTGCATGCATTCTTATCTTTCAGTCATCAAATTTAGCAAGACTAAAAACGAGCTGCTTAGAGCGGTTAGCATGATCCTTTTCCATTTTGCAAAAGTTCGTGCAGAGCTGAAAAATATGCAGATTTTCAGAATTTTGATAGGGGATCTACCAGGTAGTAAAAGCAAAGCCTTTACCGTTCAAGGTATTTGGCTCTGATACCACTTGTTGGTCCCGATAAAGTATAATGAGAGTCTAGAGGGGGGGTGAATAGACTTTTTTCGTATTTTGCCCTAAAAACCACCTTTCGATGTTTTGGCGCAGCGGAAATATCAAATGATTATTTGCTTTGCACGAGTTTACGTTGTAAAGAAAACTTTCGGTAAGATGATGAGGACAATATGATGCAGAAATGGAATGCGAAAGTAAAGAGATAAAAGAGACAAGAGATTTTATAGTGGTTCGGCTAACGTTGCCTACTCCACTCTTCTTCCACAACTTATGGAAGGATTGCACTATCACTCGTTAGTACAATTACACAAAGACTTCCTTGATCACTAAGCCGGACAGCCTTCGTAGGTTTTTCAACTCCTCGAGTTTACTCCGCCTCTATCAACTTCTTCTTCAGAGTTGAGGTTGGTAGAAGATGATTTCTGATTTCTCCAACTTGATGAAGCCTTGACTGAGTGAGATGATTGCTTCGTATAAATGGCAAGACTTCTTTAAGGTGTAAGATGATGATCAATGAACTTTTTCAAATATCTTAGCACCTTAACACTGGTTCACAAAAGCTTTAGAGAGCAGAGAGCGTTTAAGAGCTTTTGCATATATGGGTCGAGTGAATGGAACCAACACCTTCTTAGTTGATGAAGGTGGGTTTATATAGGTGATGAAAATTCATCCGTTGGAGGGAGATGAAATTTTCGAACCTTTTAACCAGTGGATAAGGACCGGGGAGCTTCATGCATTAAATGCTCCATTAATGAGGTTGTACCATGTAGCCGTTGAATGTATGGAGAGCATTAGGGTTTTGTCCTTTAGCTCCAGGAGATGGTACATCTTCATTTAATGCTCCTTGGTAAACGTGTCCCACAAGTTGAGGTCCTTATATTCCTAGGATGTTGTCAAGTCAGACAGATAAAACATTCTTCTCGTTGTTGAAGAGAAAGAGTGCTTGGTGATAATCGTCTTTAATAAATCTGTCCTTTCGAGGTAGTTGACAACTCCTGATTAATTCTCGTTGCTGTTTATCATGCCTTGTGTCTTCTTTCGTCTTGGGGACCCTATCATCTAGACATAACTCATTTTCGTGTGTTTGTCTAGCTTAACACGAATTACAGGGGAGTTATGGCAACTCTCGTCTACTTTCTACATTACATTGGTATCATCAAAATCCTAATACAAGGTTCCTAACACCAATTATTTCTTTCTTTATTTTCTCTAGTATTTTTTGCTTATTTTTTGAATTTGAATTTTTTGTGTTTAATAGTACTTGTAGTGTAGTTTCTAAATATATAAATTTTTAATACTAATACTAAACTTAGTATTATGAAAATTTGAATTAAAAATAACTTCAGTCAAGCCTCATTAGCCGAACCAGACACATAAAATGGGACGGAGGGAATAATTCAAAGTATATCAATGCAAGATTATATAAGAGAAATTCATTATAATTGGCATTAAAATTAATATTTGCAATTTTCTAAAAATAATTATCTAAATACTTATTGTAGTTGATATGATATTAGGTAATAGATACAGAGTACTACTTTTGGTTCGAATTACTCTACGTTTTGTTAATTCACTTTTGGATAGGTTTGTCATTTTTTTCGTCTTCGTTGTTTGTCTACTTCTTTTTGTTAGTAGTGTCTTATGTGCAATTGAGTTACCGGTGCTAGTTTGCAAAAAGAACATATTTGAATCTAAAATATGTTTTAAAGGTGCTAGCTTTGTTCATAATTATGTTTCAGTTTCACAATTATGCCAATTCTGATTGCGATGGAATTTGAACATAGGACCTTTCTTATGGAAATCAATGAGTATGTTAATACCAATAATATATATACAGTTTATACTGATGGAATGCAAGGCTATTTAAGAAAATTTAAATGATATAATAGAAGGTTAGTAGGAAAAATAATAAAAAATACTGAAATAAAAATAATATGAATCATTTATTTCAACCAACAATTAGACCAATATTTTTTAATTTCAGTTATAGACCTAACTTTATTAGTTCTTATTATATTTAGTAGATTAGTAGAATAGCAGATATTCAAGCTTTTCATGGACTCTTTAGCTATAGATTAATGTCTAAGCTTTTCATAGACAATTGAACTATCACAATTTGATATCATCATATGCGTGAGATACAACTAAATTGTCAAAGCTGCATTAATATCGTATAAATCAGTGTAATTTGTGATCTCAATGAGTTAATCGAAAGGGAAGGTGGGGTCTTCAAGTGTTGTTGCATACTTTTTTTTTTTTTTGATAACTGTTGTTGCATACTAATCTAATTATAATTGGTATCGGCCATATAAAGAATATGTTTATTTATACAAAATGGGCAAATTCCTATGCGCACCGGCATTTGGCCTTGTCTGCTGAGTCATGTCGGATTAAGATGTGGGGCCCTTAGAGTTGGGGATTCAACATTTTGGGAGAAGAAGAAAAAAGCTTTGAGAAGAAGAAAAAAGCTTTTGATTGAATGCTGTACTTTATTTCTTATTAATAAAGAGGAGATTTTTTTTTTTTTTTTTTAATGCTACTAGCTCTATTACATTGTAGTATCTGTTCATTAATAAAGAGGAGATTAATTGATTAATTTTTCACCTTAGTACATCTGAAAATTATATATATATATATATATATATATATATATATATATATATATATATATATATATATATATATATATATATATATATATATATATATATTAAGAAACTTTTGTACAGTACCTTATGACACTGCATTTTATACCAAAAATAGAAATTAGTTTTTTTTTAAAAAAATAATCCCCCATATTTTTCCTGCAAACCGCAAGGTAATCTTGCATGTTTCCATGTTTGGTACGAGAAAACAATAATAAAATAATGCAGCCGACCAGTTAACTACTCTAATGGCTATAAACTAAATTCATCAACTTCTGCTCCAATTGAGCTACATCAATGCTTCTTCCTTCAACAACCTACAAAGAATCAAACAAATCTAGTATGGATCATGGATGGAATTGACGAAGAATCTCTATACACTAAAACAATAGTTTAACAAACCCTTACTCCTTCCCCCTTATTTTAAACGTTTTGATTGTTGTTTTAAATACTTGCTTATATTTTGTATTAATTTAATTTAGATGTTTTTAATCAATCATCGAGAAACTATTCATCGTATATATATAGATGACTAGCATTTTGTACGCGTGATGCGCGAAAACTTATGCCCAATATTAAAATATTTGTAAGTAACAAAATTTTAAAAATTAGTTAAAATTATGTTTTGCAATTTCTTAAAGTGATGATACTTTTGAATTATCATATATTTGAATAATATAGTGATCAAAACAAAAAAAATAAATTATATTTTTATGTAATAATAATTTACAAATAATACTAAGCTAACATCCACATATATGATATATTGATATGGATACACAAATAATGAACACACACACACACACACACACACACACACACACACACACATATATATATATATATATGATACACATATATAATTTAACATTCATATAAATATTTAATTAAAATATAATTTATAATTAAATTAATTGTTATATGATAATTTTAATAAAATGATAATTAAAAATAGGAAAAAGATATGATAGATGTAGGTGTATAGTAAGATTGGTAGATATATTAAAAACTAATGGTGTTATAACAGTGTAAGGGTAATTTTGTCCAATGCAAATTAATGTACAACAATTAAAGCAAAATGTATATATTTATTAGCATATAAAAAAGGGACAAAAATCAAGGACATAACTTGTATTGACACTTATTATGTTTTTAGATATCCATCCATTTGGATAACCAACGGTTGAAGGTTGCTAAAACATAAAGGAAAATGAACAGGTCAATTTTATAAATATTGTAAATTTAAAAATTTGTAATAATTATAAAATTAATTTATTGGTTTTTACTAAAATTCTCAATGAACACTGATGGACGGTTGTGATCGGTCCTCAATATTTTACAAAATGAGATTGTTTTCAATTCAATAATATATATATATATATATATATATATATATATATATATATATATATAGGGTCCGATCCCCATGAAAACACATCCCCAAATAAGAACATGTGCTCTAATTTGAATTATCCATTTGACTTGATTTAAAGGATATGATTTTTTCTACTATTAAATGGTTATTTTTATTATTTAATGCACCATGGGCATTAGATTATTTTTTTACCGTTTCCTTATGTATGGTAACTGCTTATCAAACAACAAATCACATACCTTAATTTAATTAAATTAACGACCAAATTAGACCACACATTCTTACTTGGTGTTGAGTTCTCATTTGAACCAATCTCTAATTTTAGAATACCTTCTCTTATAAAAAGTGTAGACACATCCGTGCCCTTCATTTTAAGAAATCAAAAGTTAGGATCTTGCGAAAATGGATCACACAAACATATACACACATACCTCAGCCTCAATGCAGTGAAGTAACCTCTTATTGACTTTGGTGAAAATGCAGGTGGTAATGGAGATCCCTCCTCCCATTACAATTGCCCTTAGCAGCTTAGAAAGAGGGACCTCATTTCTTCTGCATGATGCAATGTTCACAATCACCTCTATTCCCCCTCTGCAATGCTTCACTGTCACCTTGCACCCTTCATCATCATCATTATCTTCTTCTTCTTCTTCTTCTTCTTCTTCTTCTTCTTCTTCTTTATCAATAATGCTGCATTTTTTTACTGCATTGTTATTCATGGAGTTCGTTGATGATGAACACAAATGATCTTTCAACTCTTCTCTCCTGCCTTTCAGTCCCTCCACCCTCACCCTCAAATCTTTCACGTACTTCACTGTCTCCTGCAAACGATCCGATGTTGAACGTTTTCCCTGCACAATTAAAAAATAATAATAATAATAAAATAAATAAATAAATATATATATATATATATATATATATATATATATATATATATATATATATATATATATATATATATATGTGTGTGTGTGTGTTATTTAGTACTCTGTTACTATTTAGTTGTAGATTATTTAGAAATGAAGTAGGAATTTGGCCCGATAAAATACAACGTCCTAATAGAGCAAGATATCAAAATTCAAATACGAATTGAACCGAATCCATATTAATGCTGCTATGCTTTTTCAAGAACAAACTCAATCTAGTGAAAATTGAACTAAATTCAACTAATTAGTCTTATCTTGCAGAATACAGATATATATGACAAATATAATGCATGCATTCAAAGCCATTCTAGCATACCTTGATATACTCATAAGGGATGAGGGCAATCAAATTCCGGTAAAGCCCACCCATCTCCTTCCTCCGTTGCCTCTCAACATCCCTTCTAAGTAGCTTCTTCTCATCTCCACCGTTAAAATTAGGGTTCTTCTGCACAACACCATGTTTATAGTTACCAGCAAAATCCAGCCCGTTCGTGGGAATCTCAGCCGCCATTAGAGAACTGTGATCAAAAGCTTGAGGTCTAAGCACTGTTTGATGCTGCAGGGGATGAAAGGAAGAAGAGAAGTCAAGGAATCCATTCTCCTGAAATGGAAACATTGACCCTTTCTCTCCCATGTACCCCTTTTTTGTCACTACTATCTAACTTTTCTCACTGTTCTAGCTGTTAACTTAATCATATATATATGCAACCAATTTGATTTCATTAGATCCTTGATCGGACCACGTTTGTACAAAAAATCATTAATTTTGTGAAAAAATATTATTAGCTTTCAACATCGATGTTTTCTTTTGGGCAAAGCATAGTACATTAGTACGTGTTAAGTTAACAAACTGTTTTACTATTATAAAATAACGATCCATACTGTCTTTATATTATTTGGGCCGATCCACCACTCTTTCAACAACAATACCTACTAAACCATTAATATATATTCGGAAAATTGCACCTTTCTCCCAATTATGAGCAAAGCATAAATTTAGTCCCTCAATTATTTGTGATGCAGATTTAGTTTTATATTGGGTATCGGTCGAGTTGGCCGAGTTCAGTCCCTACTCAATTCGAGACGTGACGATGTGGCTTACCATTGAGGAATATGGTTAAATAGTTAATTTACACATACTTATCACCAATTGGTTATAAGTAGGATATGACAACTAGATAGTTAAAGAACTTTGTGGTTAAGCGTGCTTGACTTATGCAATGCTAAGATCCATCAGCCATTTTATTACGTAATATATTGGTGGCAGAAATAATCATCGAGATATCAAATTCATCACTAACTCAATAATTGAGGGACTAAATTTACATTTCAAATAAATGAAGGACTAAATCGATAGTATAGCCATAACTAAAGGACGATTATTATAAATATTACAAAATAAAAATAAGAAAATACGAAAACAAACAAGAATTTTATTTGTTGTGCTAATTTTAACGATAGAATAGCGACTACTTAGCAATGATTTATCGATAGTACTCAGTACTTTAATTTTCTTTTTGCACATCATCAAATTAAAATTTAAAATAAAAAGGAAAATCTACATAATATTGAATACAATCATGTATGGTATACCTAATTGTAACCAACACTATCAAGTATTAACACTAGTATGAATAGTACTCATACAATCAGATATGATTGTACACATTATTATCAATACTGTAGAAAATTAATTTTAAGTGGTACTATTATAAATATTAGACAAATAGAAAAACTTCAATTTTCCTCCAGCACATCATCAAATTAAAATAAAAGAGAAAATCTATATATTATCCAACCTTTTATAATTTACCTAATTGTACTGAATAATGTGTATTATCAACACTAGTATCAATAGTACTCGATATAATCAAGTATACTATTATACATGATTATACTTAATAGTAATTAATACCGTAAAAAAATCCAAAAAATATCATTAAATTTAATTTTCCTATTTTACCCATCATGTTTTCTATTTAAATGTCAAACAAGCTAAGCTCTTATTTACGGAGTATTAACTTATTTTTAACAATTTCATAAAGTTTATAATATAAACTAAACGTTTAATGAAACTTTAATTTTATATATATATATTTTTTTTTTTGAATGCTACTAGCTCTATTATATTGTAGTATCTGTTCATATACTTTCTCAACCTACTGAAACACAAAGACCTAATAACGCCTCCACTGAGGCTCGAACTCATAACCTTCCAAATGGAAGTCCAACCCGAATACCATTAGACCACATAGTCCTGGTAAATTTTAATTTTATATATTTTTGCTAGATATATAAATTATATTGTATTTGTTAACATTAAAATAATCAATGTAAACATTTAAATTGCAGACATTTTTTTATTAGTCGTCCATCATATCATTAATTAAATTGAAAATTAGACTTATAAAATGGGATGACCGTAAAAGCAACTGGTTTCTTGAATGATGCAACGCTCCTTTACTTATGAACTTGAAGGTTTTAATAGTGATGTTGATTTGAATGCGATATCCCTTCTAATTAAGAATTGTGTGTTTAGAATATGCTTCAATTATACTATATATGAAAATAAAAACTTAATTTTAACTTGGCTAAAATGTTAGTGTTCAGTTTGGCACACCCCTTAATTTGTGAGAAAACTTACAACTGTAATCCGAACGTGAGCTTAATTTAGATAAAGTGTGTTTGTCTTGTGACTCTAACTAGCGATGTAACACCCCCGATTTTCATGCCATTTTAAACTTAAATATGCAAGATTATCTAACCACAACCATAAGCAAAACACAGCGGAAGTCTATATATATAAAGCCAGAAAAAAGGGAGTGCTATGCCTCTCTCACACCATTGTGAACGCACAGGCAAAAACCATCAACAACAATCTAACGTATTGTTCAACACAAGGGGCACACAGGCCCAAAACACAACTAAAACTATCTGGGAGACTAAACTAGCCATCTCTAACGCGCTCGCCGACTACTCAGGACCTGAAAAACACATAAATAATTGGGACGACGCCCGGCCAGCGAATAATGCTGGTAACCCATCAATACGCGTTAAGTATCATATATAGATAGATAGTTTAATACAAAATCATTTTCGAAACGGAATACTGTATATATGTCAGTTCAAAGCCAAAGATAGAAGTCAACTACAAAAACTCTATATCACTCACAACAAGGACAAGGGTAAACACATCCCAAAACACATCAAGACGTGACAACGATGACACAAGTAAGGCTCAAGGCGTATTCTACCATCACTCAGTAGAATATCACCCGACATGCTCAACAAATGAGGATAAAGAAACACACATTGGCAACGCATGCCTTCGTGACATCACACATCACGAATAGAGAAACACACATCGGCAACACATGCCTTCGTGACATCACACATCACGAATTCAATAATCCTTCCTTATGCCCGGTTCCAACCTTATGGCTACCCCCAACCTTATAACTAGTTCTAACCTTTACCTCCAGGACCCCTGTACTCCAAAGTCCAACCTTATGCCTCCGAGGACCGTCGTCCCCACTCCGACAATCTCCAACATAACCACCGATTTCATAGTACACGAGGGTACCGTTCACACAGAGCCGAACCCACCCAAGAACACGTGAACCTTACACACAGGTCACAAACTCCATAATCACATCATGGCCACCACAAGGACCACTGTCGTACCTTGGTGACTAATGTCCCATACCATTAATCGTGCAATCCAGGTACAGCCACACATACCACACCATCATAGGAATCAATCAATGGATCACAACAAAGATATGAAACCATACTCAAAAAGGAAAGGATCACAATCCGACAACACCGATGATCAACACAAGTTGTCATCCACAACAGGAAAGAACAAACCATACACGCTAGCATTTCAACACCGAACTAGCATGCTTATCAAACAGGTAAACAAAACATAGTTCCGAAGAACACACAAGACTCATCATGGTTCAACGAATCACAAGGTTGAACACTTAACACGATTCAAGACACCAAAACCTACATGGATTCCTACCAAATAGTTCTAGACATACGAAACATCAAGAAGACACTCAAATAGTTCCACAAAAGAACATCAGGAAGTCAAAACATCAAATACCGAGTCAAAAGAATCACGGGGAACGAATCCCCACACAAACCACCATTGTACCCCGCGGGTGGAGCCACAGGTGGACCCCCACCCGTGGTTCCGCCCGCGGGAACCAAGTTCCATGAGCCATGTACCCCGCGGGTGGGGCGACGGGTGGAGCTCTACCCGCCGTTCCGCCCGCGGGTACACTACCCTGTACCAAAATATCCCTTCGGGGATTTTCAGCACCAAGTTCAAATTCAAGTCCAAAACACCCAAAATCTCACAAAATACAACAATAAGACTTGAATCAAAGGAATATCCAAGCAATGGCATACAAGAACCATAATAACAAGCTCTAGATATGCATTTTCACAAGACAATGCATCAAAACTCACATTTCATAGCAAAAATCACATGTAGAAGTCAAGAAATCATCATATAGGTAAGAAAATAGATTTTGTAAAGCATGGGTTACCTCTTGTAGTCTAAGCCTTCACTTAATACACCTTTACAAGCTTCTAACACGGCTCTCCTTCAATAACAACTTCAAGAACACACCAAAAGATAACAAAGATTTCATCTTTAAAAAAAGACACCTTAGAAAGAACTAAAAACACTAAAGGACCAAAGATCTTACCCTCCTAGATGCTCAAGAGTAGGAAAGGTGGAATCTTGGAGACAAACTTGGAAGATCTTGGAATGCCCAAACTTGGCTTGAAGAAGAAGCTAGCTAAATTCTAGAGAGAAGGAGGAGCTTTTGTTTTGAGAGTGTTAGGGAAAGAATGAAAGATTAGCTTGGGATACAATCATGAGGTGAAATGTCTTCATTACCCTTACTAAGATGAAAAAGTGTAAGGAGACAAGGGGTACCTAGAGAGCTTTGTGAAGTGTTTAAAGTGAAAGTTGAGTCTTCAAGAGGTAACCCATGCTCTACAAAATCTATTTTGTCTACCTATATGATGATTTCTTGGATTCTACATGTGTTTTGCTATGAAATATGAGTGTTGATGCATTGTCTTGTGAAAATGCATATCTAGAGCTTGTTATTAGGGTTCATGTATGCCATTGCTTGGCTATTCCTCTGATTCAAGTCATTTTATTGTTTTTGGTGAGATTTGGCATGTTTTGAACTTGAATTTGAGCTTGGTGTTGAAAATCCCCAAAGGGATTATTTTGGTACACGTGATGTACCCGCGGGCGGAACAGCGGGTAGTGCACCACCCACCGCACCACCCGCGGGGTACAGGTGGTTCGCGGAACCACGGGTAGAGGTCCACCCGTGGCTCCACCCGCGGGTACGTATGTGGTGATTGTGGGGATTTGTTCCACGTGATTCTTTTGACTCGGTAATTGATGTTTTGACCTCCCGATGTTCTTTTGTTGGGCTTTTGAGTGTCTTCTTGATGTTTCGTATGTCTAGAACTATATGGTAGGATTCCATGTAGGTTTTGGTGTCATGAATCGTGCTAAGTGTTCAACATTGTGATTCGTTGAACCGTGATGAGTCTTGTGTGCTCTTCGGAACTATGTTTGGTTTACCCGTTTGACAAGCATGCTAGTTCGGTGT